TACATTTACACAATGGAATTCTATGCAGCAGAAAGAAAGAAGGAGCTCCTACCCTTTGCAACAGCGTGGATGGAGCTGGAAAACATGCTAAGCAAAACAAGCCAGGCAGTGAAAGACAAATACCATATGATCTCACCTTTAACAGGAACCTAAATAACAAAACAAAGAAACAAACAAAATATAACCAAAGACACTGAAATAGAGGACAGGCTGATGGTGACCGGAGGGGGAGAAGAGGGAATTTAAGGGGACAGTGGGAAGGGTTCACAGGAACAAACTTAAAGGACACATGGTCATAGACTAAGGGGAGGGTGGTAATGGGAGGGAAGTGGGGAGGGTGGGAGGGGTGACTGGATTGGGAGTAAAAAGGAGAAAACTGTATTTGAACAATGATTAAAAAATAATAAAAAAATAAAAATTAAAAAAAATTAAAAAATAGCCCTGGCTGGTGTAGCTCAGTGGATTGAGCTCAGGCTGCGAACCAAAGTGTTGCAGGTTCGATTCCCAGTCAGGGCACATGCCTGGGTTGCAGGCCATGACCGCACATTGATGTTTCTCTCTCTCTCTCTCTCTCTCTCTCTCCCTCCCTTCCCTCTCTAAAAATAAATAAATAAATAAATAAATAAATAGAAATAAAAAAATATAAACCAAATCACAAAAATATACTCTGAGTTCATTTGACTAGTGAAAACTAACAAATAGATTCTAATCATCATGTGAGAACAAGCTCAGCCTCAACAACAAATAAACACAGGTGCCACTACACATACTACCACTAACAAATAAAAGTCGTAACACTGAGGGACTGAGCAAAAAGGAAAAAGGACTCCTGGACATGGACAACAGTAGGGTGATTGTGGAAGGTAAGGGAGTAAAGGGGGACTAAATAGTAATGGAAAAAATACAATAAAAAATAAAAATTTAGGAAAAAAAGTCAGAACACTGAATGTTGGCCACGCTGGGGAGAAACTTGTCCACATCGCAAATCTTAGGGCTCGGTGCAGAGACAGAGCTGTTGGTGGAGGCTCCGCATCTTCCTCTGAGCACCCCCGGCGCTCTCCTGAGGCAGCCTGGGAGGCGGCTGTGAGGAAAGCACGACAGGACAGCTCTGTAGTCACCCCAGCAGGCCCAGGCCTGGGCTCTGGGATTGGTCTGCAAGCCCCTTCTGCCAGGAGGCCCCGCATCCCTGGCTCAGACACAAAGACGGGTGAGGCTCTGGGGGAGCCCACAGCTCAGCTCACCCCCCACCTCTCGGACTTCATGGTTTTGGTAACAAGTGCTCAGCGAGGGAGCCCAGGGAAAACACAGAAAAACAAGTATGAATAACCCGAACCATCATCACGTGGGGACAGTCGTTGCTACCAGTGTGTTGCAGTTCTCTCCAGCACTTTCTTCTATGAAAGAACACCATCGAATGTTATGTCCTTCCCCATCTTACTACAAAAATGCACTATTTCAAAAAAAAGACATGTTTATGAAGAAATGTTTGTTATAACTAAACATTTTAAATCAAGCTATTTTTTGTTTAACTCAAAAATACATATATGAAAACGCACCCTTTGCGAGGAATACTTATTAAGCACATTTGATGCGGATCCTGGCCGGCAGGATCTGTGTGTTGTGGCCACAGTGAACAAATTCGCATGGACTACAGAAGTCCTGTGGAGAAAAAGGGACAGCACGGCCACTCTCTAAGTGAGAGAGAGGGCCCCAGCCCCTGCCTGCACAGGCTTTTATTGCTTTTCTGGGTACATTACATTACGGATGGTCCTCATTTACTATGCACAGGTTCACTGTAGGTGATTACCTTTTACAGAAACAAAGGAAAGAATGTTGCTAATTACTTCAAAGAGAAGGATGTTACAGATCAAGGGGAAAAGTGGTTGGACTGGTTACACTCCATACGTGGGAGGTTTAGCTCAGATCTTAGGAAGTTACAGTAAGCATTTTGCTGCCTCAATTCAGGGTGAGGGAGTTTTAGCAAAAGCAAGTCTCATAGCAGCCTAGGTACAATGCAGGCCTGATTCCCCCCGGAGAACCTATCCATGGGCGTGGCTCTTGTGTGCCGGGACCTCACTCCCCACTGGCCCTTCCCAAAGGGGGCTGGGCTACATTCCCACGCCAGATGAACCAGTTCCCCATACACATTAGCATGGTTGCCTATAGGGGAAGGTAGCCTACTCCTCTCAGGAGTAGACTGAGAGGATAAAGAGATATAAACAGAGCAGGAGGGGGTCTCATACAGGCTGGGCTGAGAATGTGACAGACAGAATTGTAGGCTCCTGTGACCCCAGGCTTTATTTGAAGAGTCTAGCTTCTTTCTAACCTGGGTGCCCAGCTTAGAGAGCCCAACCAAGTCATTGGGGGTGCTTGGCATGTAGAGCCACAGGCAGAACTGCATCCAGGTGAGCAGGGGGTTAAACAGCAGAGGCAGGAGAGGGTCTAAAGTCAAAACTGTCACTCACACCCTGCAACACCTGGTCTCAGTTTCCCTCTATGGGCCTCAGTTTACTCATCTGTAAAATGGAGCTTATAAGGTCGTGTTACAGAAGCTTAAGGAAGCTTAAAAAGCTTCTCTGAGGGCCTTCTTTCATCAAAAGGACCCGGAGGTGAGGGTCAGTCATCACAGAGGTCAGTCTCTGAGTGGGACTGACACTCGGACCCTCCACCCAAGCCTTGGCACCTATCTACTGGGACCTGGGATCTGGCTGTGGCCCAGGGAGGGGGCTGGAGTGATAGCCCCTCACCCCACCTGTCCCTTGAGGCTCTGATGCTCGCTGTCACTGGATTTGATAAGAGACCCCTCCCGTATTGTCCCCTCCCCTCTCCTGACAAAATGACCCCAGCCTAGCCACCCCCCACCCCCGGCTCCATGTGCATAAGGAGACCCTGGGGGCTGAGCACCTCAGAGGCCAGTCCAGGGCTCACTCAGCTCAAGCTCTGTCACCACCATGTCTCTGACCAAGGCCAAGAAGACCTCCATCACATCCACGTGGGCAAGATCTCAGCATCGAGGCCCTGGAGAGGTGAGTGCCAGACAGGCTGAGATGGGGCCAGGTAGGTGAAAACGTGGGTTAGCGAGCACAGGGGATCGTGAGGAGGGGTCGGTGCTTTTAGGATTCTCTGAGATGGGGGCCGGTGAGTTGGGGAAAATGGATTGCACAGACGCCTGACTGACCTTGGGCTGTGAGGCCTGAGTAGGAACAGGCACATGGAAGGACAAGGGCAGTTTCTTCCAAGGCACAAAGTGCCTTCTGAGACAGTCAGATGGCTACCAGCACTGATGCTGGCCTCTCTGACCCTGAGGAGAACCGGTCAAAAGAGATTTCTCTGAAGAGTCTTCCGGGGATGCCTCTGGAGAGAGCACTACTTCCCCCAGAAGGTGAAGCCGGGAGCCCCTGAAGGGGTGGAAGGAGGCCCCTCTGGCCAGGGGAGGTGACAGGGGCAGGACGCCGAGGCAGTGGGTGTGGAAGAGCTGGCTGTGCAGGCCCAGTAGGAAGCAGGGAAGCAGGGAGACAAGCCAGGAGCCGCTGTGATCTGGAATAGGCAGGGTTAGGTTAGGGGGAGGGCTGTCTCTAGCTGAGGGGGGTGCAGCTCCGTGGGAAACTTCAGACTGGGAGAGAAATGGGGACCTGGGAAAGTGTGCAGGGACTGTGGCAGGGTTGAATTTGGGTCCTCAAGTCCTGAGAAGAGGGGAGGGATGGTAAGGCTGTGGACAGACCGCTCTTTTCCGGCGCTCACGCCCCGCCCCCACCCTGCAGGCTCTTCGCCAGCTACCCGCAGACCAAGACCTACTTCCCGCACTTCGACCTGCACCCCGGCTCCGCGAACCTGCGCGCGCACGGCTCCAAGGTGGTGGCCGCCGTGGGCGACGCCGTCAGGAACATCGACAACATCGCCGGCGCCCTGTCCAAGCTGAGCGAGCTGCACGCCTACGTTCTGCGCGTGGACCCGGTCAACTTCAAGGTGGGCGCGGGGCCGCGGGGCCGGGCGGGGTAGGGCAGAGGCGGGGCCGCAGCGCGAGGAGCGCGGAGTGTCCGCCACAGGGGCTGGGTCCCCGCACACGGAGCGCGCCCGGCCGCACTCCAGCCCGCGCTCCGAGCAGCCCTCCCGCGCGCAGCTCCTGTCCCACTGCCTGCTGGTGACGGTGGCCTCGCACTTCCCCGCGGACTTCACGGCCGACGCCCACGCCGCCTGGGACAAGTTCCTGTCCGTCGTGTCCAGCGTCCTGACCGAGAAGTACCGCTGAGCGCCGGCGAGGGACCTCGGGGGACAGGCTGCGAACTCTCTTCTACCTCTAAATCCTCCCTAACTTCCTCCCGATACTCCCCCAATAAATGGATGAGGGTGGAGTGAGCCGGGTCCTGCATCCTCAGTGCTGAGGGAAAGGAAGGAACAAAGTGAGGGTAGTGTCACTCCCGGCCTGGAGGCCACTCCCAGGTCGCTTTGAGGCGGTCCTTGCGTCTGCGAGCCCCAGGGATGCAGCCCCAACAGGGCAGAGCGGCCGCAGGCACATCCAGGCGGTTTCCTCTGGATGCATTTACATCTCAAACCGTCTTTGCAAATCGCCCAAAGACTGTCCCCTCGCGGAGCTCGTTGGCTGCGTGTGGGGACTCAGGGGACTTTTCTTCAAAGTCTGATGTCATAGCTCCCGCGCTGCGGGAATTTCTGATGCAGTTCCCCTCCTGGCCCCCCGGGGTAAAAGGGGGTTCCATGCCCCCACTCTTTCTCCCGATACTCCCATGGGTTCCCTCCTGGCGCGCGAAGCAGTAACTCGGCCCGCAGGGAAGTCATTGCAGCTCCTCCTAAAGTCCGCCACAAAGACACCCACGCGCGGGGGCGTCAGTGCCAGTGACCCAGTGACGCCCGAGGCCGTGGCCTCCGAGGCTCTTGGGACACTGGCCTAGTGACCATTTCCCATGCTGGCCGAGGTTGCTGGCGTTCCCGCGCGCTGCTGCAGATAAAAGCGGGGCGCACGCCGGGAGGTTGTGGTGGGCGGGTGCTGCTATAAGGAGGCCTGGCCCGCGGCCGGGGACTGGCAGAGCACGCCACGCCCGTGCCATGCTCAACGCTCAGGAGCGCGCCCACGTCGCGCAGGTCTGGGACCTGATCGCAGGGCATGAGGCGCACTTCGGGGCGGAGCTACTGCTCAGGTGAGTAGGGGGTAAGTCTCCAGAATTCTCAGGGAGGTGGAGACATGGGTGTTAGGCCTAAGGGGAGGGGGAGGGGAGGGGGAGGGTTGGACAGCGCAGGAGAGACAGGGGTTTCCAGGGGTCTGGGCGGTGCAGGAGCTGGAGGATCCCACGCTGCCCGCCCTCCCCACTAACCTGCTCCCGCAGGCTCTTCACTGTGTACCCCAGCACCAAGATCTACTTCAAGCACCTGGGCGCCTGCCCTGACGAGGTGCTCCTGCTGAGCCACGGACAGCGCATGCTGGAGGCAGTGGGCGTTGCCGTGCAGCACGTGGACAACCTGCGCGCGGCCCTGAGCCCGCTCGCGGACCTGCACGCTCACGTGCTACGCGTGGACCCTGCCAACTTCCCAGTGAGACAGCCCCAGCTGCAGTGGGGTTCCCGCGAAGTCGGAGGTTGGGGGTTCCTGGAGAAACTGGAGGGGACAGATACCCTCTAACCCGCCCCTTCGCCTGCAGCTGCTGATCCAGTGTTTCCAAGTGGTGCTGGCCTCCCACCTCCAGGACGAGTTCACGGTGGAGATGCAGGCGGCGTGGGACAAGTTCCTGACGGGCGTGGCCATAGTGCTCACCGAGAAGTACCGCTGAGTCCCGTGCCCACCTGTCAATAAACAGGCCTCAAAGGCGGAGACCTGAGCATGCGCAGTCTTTGGGTCCTGGGGCGGACGTCACTGTTGCTGGGCAGGGAAGCTCTGGGTCCCTCCGGGAGCCACCTAGAATCTTAGGGAAGGACCCCAAAACTTTGTGGATAAGGAAATGGGGCCCAGGAGCGGACCCTGGGAGCTCTCCAGACTTGGAGTGACCATGGTTCCCAGGCTGACAATCCGAGTCTGGATAGGATACCCGAAGTCCTGAATAAAACAGTTGCCTTCCTGTGGCGGGGGAGTGTGGTGGGACAGAGTGGGCACTTGAATGTGGGGGGGGTGTCGTTTAAGGGTCTCAGAGCGTCGGGCGCTCCCGCGGGGCCGTAGCGTTCAACACAGCACGTCGCGTTCACTCATTTATTCTCCCTCCATCCCTTCCTCACGCCCGCAGCGGCGAGTGTGAATCCCGGCCTGCTCCGCAGACCGTCGCGGGCACCCAGGCCCAGGGGCCAAGTTTCTGGACTGAGGTCACACAGAGATCGAGGTCCGGGGCTCCTTGGTCCCTCCTCTGTGTTCCCTTCCCGCTCCCTCCCACATTCCGCGCCACCACTGTGCTCAATCCGCAGCAACCCTTGTTGTAAGACCGATTAACCTCTTCCTCTGAATGTCCTGGGTGCGGGGTGGGGGTGCGGTGGAACCCTCGCTGGCCACAGTCTGGCAGGCAGAGCAGGTTTCCACCACCGGGCTCCCCCACCAGCAAGCTCTGTGAGATCTGAGCCCGACGCATCGACGAGGGGCGGGGAAACCTACCTCGCTGGGCTGTTGTGCAACAGTTTCTGAGACCATAACGCTGGATCAGTGTCTGGCAGGACCATGGCCGCCCAACCTCCATCCCACACCCCGGCCCCAGACGCTGCGCCTCAGTGTCTGCGCGTTTCTGGGCCAAAGCCGCCCCCCCACCCCCACCCCCCCCAATCTCTTCACTCTGCTGCTTGGGGCAGAAACCTTAGCGCTTCGCCCATCACCTTTGCGGACAAGAGGCCGGACGAGGATTCTGGTGCTCTGCAGACTCAACGGGGCGGTTTGCGCAGTGACCGGCCCCAGTCTGTGCTGGGGGGAAGGGTGCGGGGAAGGGCTGAGCCCGGCAGAGTGCTGGGCCCCCAAGTCTGAGGGGGATGCTGAAGGCTCGCCCTGACTGACGGTGGCTCAGCAGAGTTCCCCCGTGCTGACATTCCTCCGTGCGGAACGTATGGGGAGCCGCAGCGTGTGGAGGATTCACCCCGTAATATCCTTCGTCCTCGTTGTTGACATGAACAATTGACCGCTCTTGGTACAAGGCAAAGCGCAGAGCAAAAGCGAAGTGTTTCACTTCTGCAACAATTGTGCTCCCCACCCTGACAGGCGAATACAGATCGCTTTCCCCAGCTCTGGCCACACCTGGGTGCAAAGGGGATTGGGGTGGCCCAGGCACCTGTGTGAGAACCCCAGAACCGCTGGACCGGCAAAGAGGGGACTCTCAAGAGCTGGACCTCGGCCTGTGCGGGACCCAGAGTGTGAGGGCGGCGGTGGAAGCCCACCGCCCCCTCTCTAGAGACGCGGTCCTCAGTCCAGATTCCTGGACCCGCGCCAGCCAATGAGCGCCGCCCGGGCGGGCGTGCCCCTTGCTCCCCAGGCATAAAAGCCCCGCACACTCGCCGCCCACCACCCTTCTGGTCCGCACACAGACTCAGAAAGAACCAACCATGGTGCTGTCCGCCACCGACAAAACCAACGTCAAGGCCGCCTGGGATAAGGTTGGCGGCCAGGCCGGCGACTATGGTGCAGAGGCCCTGGAGAGGTGAGGACCTCCCTTCCCCTGCTGGACCCCGGGCCTCAACACCGGCCCGCGGGCCTGCGGGCAACGCCTCGGTGGGCTCCGGCCTGGCTGGCGCCCACATCCCCGAGATCTCAGGGTCTAGAACGCCGACCTGCCAGAACAGGCCAGCCAGCCCCTCGGATTCCTCTGAACCCAAGGCTCATGCCCCCGCCCTGGACCCACCACTCCCACCTTCAACCCCGCCTCCCACCCCCCCTTCTGCCCGCAGGATGTTCCTGAGCTTCCCCACCACCAAGACCTACTTCCCTCACTTCGACCTGGCCCACGGCTCCGCTCAGGTCAAGGGCCACGGCAAGAAGGTGGCTGACGCCCTGACCACCGCCGTGGGCCACCTGGACGACCTGCCCGGCGCCCTGTCCGCTCTGAGCGACCTGCACGCCTACAAGCTGCGTGTGGACCCCGTCAACTTCAAGGTGAGCGCGGGGGCCGGGAGGCAGAGATCTGGGCAGAGGGCTCCCGCGGGTTCCAGGGGGTTCCAGGGGGTGGAGCGCCGGAGGCCGCGCTCCAAGGCCCCCTGACACCGCCTCTCTTCACAGCTCCTGAGCCACTGCCTGCTGGTGACTCTGGCCAGCCACCTCCCCTCTGATTTCACCCCTGCCGTCCACGCCTCCCTGGACAAGTTCCTGGCCTCCGTGAGCACCGTGCTGACCTCCAAATACCGTTAAGCTGGAGCCGCGGCTATCCCTGTCCTGGGTCGGGGCCCCTTTGCGCTGCGCGCCCCCGCACTTCCTGATCCTTGAATAAAGTCTGAGTAGGCTGCAACCCGCGTGGCCTCGGTTGTCTGTGCCCCCGAACGTGCCAAGGGTGGGGGTGGTTCTCCTTGCCTCGGACCAGAGGCGTCTCCGCAGCGGGCGAAGAGAGAGAAGGAGAGGGAGAAGGGAAGAGATTTGAGATGGTCGCTTCCAGGAATGCGCTGAACCAGGCTTCTGTCCCAGGAGTTGCCAGACTCCCAAGGGTTCGTCACTGGGGCAGAGGTGGGATTATTAAGAGTCACCACCTACCCTGGCCGGTGTGGCTCACTTGGTCGGAGAGTCATTCCATAGGAAAGGCTGTGGGTTCGATTCCCAGTCAGGGAACATACCCAGGTAACAGGTTCGATTTCCATTTGGGGCAGGTACAAATGTTTCTCTTTTTTTCTCTCTCTTTCTCTTTCTCTCTCTCTCCTCCCCTCCACTCTCCACCTCCATCTTTACCTCCCTCCTTCCCTTCCTTTCTCTCCGGAAGCAATGCTTTAAAAAAGGTCCTCAGGTGAGGATTTAAAAGAAAGAGAGAGAGAGAGAGAGAGAGAGTTGTCACCACTCTAAAGTGTCTCTGACTGGTCACTGCCAAACAAACAATCTAGATTAAAATAAAACCAAACAATCAACTCCCCAAACTATGCAGCTCCTGGCACAAAGGCAGGTGCTAGACAATCTTCATGAAGTTCCCACCTCCTCCCTACTAGAGAGAATGCGAGTTGGAATGGGGATCAAAGTTCCCAGCACCCTCTGCAAAGATGCCAATGAAGCTCTGCAGGCAGGTGGGCAGGACTGCCTGGGAAGAGGGGAATCGCTGGTCAGGGCGCCCGCAGGGAGCACTTTACCAGAGTACTTTGCTTGCTTGCTTGGCATTTCATGAGGCACATTAACAGCTCGTTGTGTTCCCAGCCCTGCGTCCCCCAGCTCGATGCCCCTCTGTTGCCAGAGGTTCCTGGGGTCTCCCAGCTGATCTACAGAGCTGTGAGGAATAGAGTTGAATAGGCTGTCCCAGGTGCTGGAGCGGTTGGCTCCACATTGGAATCTTGCACACTCCACCTGGCCCTGCAGCACCTGAGGGACAGCATCAGTGCCCCAGCCCAGCCCCAATCTCTAGGACAACACACAGCACTGGGCAAAAGGTTTGGGAGCGTGGCAAACCCCTGGCTCACCACTTTGCTTTTTGGACATGGGACCCCCGAAGATCTGGGGAGTTGCACCTTCCTCTCCACCATGCACTTGTCCTCTGCCTCATAGTCCTCATTTTTGCCTCACTTTTGTTTTAAAGAAGAAAAACAATTAAAAAATAAGTTAAAATCCATCTATGCTTTCACACACACACACACACACACACACACACGCTCTTTTTGTGTTATTCAAAGTAGGGAGATGGTGTCCCTTGCCCTGTCCTCCCACCCCTGCAGAAGTTCAAGTCAAGAGTTTGGGACTGCGCCCACTGGCCCCTATCCTGTGCTAAGGGAACACAGGTACATCCACAACTACACATTTTTGTCAGAAATGCCATTGTAACATGAATATTTGTCTGCAGCCTGCTCTTCCCACTCAACTGCATCTTCTCTACATCTCTTCTGGCCCATTTATTCCACCGTCTCGTTTTCATCAACGCATTGGTTATTTCTATATTTTTGTTAATTTCCTTTGCCAATTTTTCACTTGAGCTCCCTGCATTTTTCCTTATATATGTGTGGGAGCTCTTCCTATATGACAAATGTAAGCCATTGACTGAGATATGTTCTCTAAGTCTTGCCTTAAAAGGACTTGGGGGCAGGAGGATTGGAGCAAGGTGCAAAAGCAGGGGTTTGTCCCAGGTCTGGGGAGTGGAATTCGCTGCTTCTAAGCCCCCCGTGTCTTATGCTTTTTATTCTTCAGAGCCAGGACTGGGCCTGGGGCCGGGGACAAAATCAGGAAGAGTGAAGAGCTGTGGGAAGGAGAAGTGGAATGAAGTGGGGGGAGGGTCCAGGAGGAACGAAATGAGAAGAGCAGACACGGAGGACCAAGCCCAAGGGAGCCTTGCTGAGGCTTGTCTGAGCTGCTTTCTTCTCCGCCCACGTCAGTTCTACCATCAGCTCCTCCTGGACACACGGTGCAAGTCCTCAGTGAAGCTCCTAGGAGAGGGATGCGGGCAGAGGGGTGGGCATATCAATGACTTCCCTTTTCACTCAGTGCTGATGTTTAGCCTCAGCAGTAATTCCCTACCACCAACTAGACCAAGGGACCATCACTTGGCACCGGTAAGGAGACCGCACCAGCCGGAAATCCTGCCGCTTCTCACTGTTTCACTGGCAGTCCCTCTCTTCCCCCATCCTGCAGGGGCTGGCCTGCTTCCTCACACCCACCACATCTGCCCTCTCTATTCTGCAGCCACAGAGGCCCTCTCTCCCCCTGGTCCCCCACAAGCCAAGTGGGGGTTCCCCCCACCCTACTCCACCTAATACTCATCCTCCAGTCTCACCTCCTCAGGGAAGCCTACCATGATTCTCAGACTAACCCTAATATACTTGAATGCCTCATCCACGCCCTTCATGCTTTCTTAGGGGCCTTTAATGAGGTTCCAGACTATATGACTGGTGATGATTTTATGACTGTCTGTGTCCCTAACTAGGTTGAAAGCTCAGCTCTTGTTAAACAGTTGCTTTATTTACTAATGCAATCACTATTTACCTATTGAGTCTTGCCTCAGGCAAAATTTGGGGAACTGGGGGTGGAGAGGTATCATTGTGAATCAGGACCATTTGGTCAGTCAGGGAGAGAGACAGCCCTTCATACAATCATACAGGGATCCTCAATGGGAGAGGCCACCTTGATGAGTTCCCAAGATGAGGCTACAGAGCCACCACCCTGGGAGACGCAGCTCAAACCAGGAGCCCCCACTCCAGCCATATGGATCACGTCCCTCAGTATTTGTCCCCCTCCACAGGTGCTCAATCAAACGCAGTGATTATTTGTGGGGGAAAAGGGGCTGGAACAATTAAGACTGAAGGGGAGCAGGAGGGATTCCAGGCAGGAATATATGTTTTTTAAGATTTTATTTATTTATTTTTAGAAAGGGGGAGGGAAGGAGAAAGGGGAGAGAAACATCCATGGTTGTTCTCTAGCGCCCCCAGCTGGGGACTTGGCCCGAAACGCAGGCATGTGCCCTGACTGGGAATCCAACCCCGCGACCCTTTGGTTCGCAGGCCCATGCTCAGTCCACTGAGCCACACCAGCCAGGGAAAGGCAGGGATTTTTGACAACATGTGAACAAGGACTTCCTTGTGCATACACCTATCTCTCTCTGCCCTGAACTAGGTGAGATCTTTCTTCCTTCTTCCCCCCTCAATAGCCCATTCATTCCTTGATCCTGCCAAAATTAAACATGCCCAGCGCATACCAAGCCTAGGTCCAGGGCAGGTCCTCAGGAGAGAGCAACCTGGGCCTAGGGAAGCTCAGAGACCCTAAAGAGTGTCATGAACTAATGCAGTGGAAGAGTCAGCATCGACCCACCTCTAGTAACCGACCTCCAGCAAGTGGGGTGAGGATATCACTTCCAGAGGAGGTGGATGCAGCGGTCAAGAAGCAGCCACTGGGAGAAAGAAATATCTAGGCCCCGGGACACTGGGTTCCTCCGCAAACTACGAGCAACACCTCCACCTCTCCCGCCAGGTGCCGGCTCTGCTGGGGCGCCCCCTGCTGTGCAGGCCTAGAGGTGTTTTCCGGGCTCTCAGCCAGCCAATGAGCGCCGCCCGGGCGGGCGTGCCCCTCGCTCCCCAGGCATAAAAGCCCCGCACACTCGCCGCCCACCACCCTTCTGGTCCGCACACAGACTCAGAAAGAACCAACCATGGTGCTGTCCGCCACCGACAAAACCAACGTCAAGGCCGCCTGGGATAAGGTTGGCGGCCAGGCCGGCGACTATGGTGCAGAGGCCCTGGAGAGGTGAGGACCTCCCTTCCCCTGCTGGACCCCGGGCCTCAACACCGGCCCGCGGGCCTGCGGGCAACGCCTCGGTGGGCTCCGGCCTGGCTGGCGCCCACATCCCCGAGATCTCAGGGTCTAGAACGCCGACCTGCCAGAACAGGCCAGCCAGCCCCTCGGATTCCTCTGAACCCAAGGCTCATGCCCCCGCCCTGGACCCACCACTCCCACCTTCAACCCCGCCTCCCACCCCCTTCTGCCCGCAGGATGTTCCTGAGCTTCCCCACCACCAAGACCTACTTCCCTCACTTCGACCTGGCCCACGGCTCCGCTCAGGTCAAGGGCCACGGCAAGAAGGTGGCTGACGCCCTGACCACCGCCGTGGGCCACCTGGACGACCTGCCCGGCGCCCTGTCCGCTCTGAGCGACCTGCACGCCTACAAGCTGCGTGTGGACCCCGTCAACTTCAAGGTGAGCGCTGGGGGCCGGGAGGCAGAGATCTGGGCAGAGGGCTCCCGCGGGTTCCAGGGGGTTCCAGGGGGTGGAGCGCCGGAGGCCGCGCTCCAAGGCCCCCTGACACCGCCTCTCTTCACAGCTCCTGAGCCACTGCCTGCTGGTGACTCTGGCCAGCCACCTCCCCTCTGATTTCACCCCTGCCGTCCACGCCTCCCTGGACAAGTTCCTGGCCTCCGTGAGCACCGTGCTGACCTCCAAATACCGTTAAGCTGGAGCCGCGGCTATCCCTGTCCTGGGTCGGGGCCCCTTTGCGCTGCGCGCCCCCGCACTTCCTGATCCTTGAATAAAGTCTGAGTAGGCTGCAACCCGCGTGGCCTCGGTTGTCTGTGCCCCCGAACGTGCCAAGGGTGGGGGTGGTTCTCCTTGCCTCGGACCAGAGGCGTCTCCGCAGCGGGCGAAGAGAGGGCAGGGGATAAAAGGCAGAGGAAGGAGTGGCTGCAGTCCTGCCACCGCCTGAGATTCACGGGCAACCCCGCCACTCTCACCCTGGAGTGCTTTGCTGCCTACATTCCCCTTCCTACAATTCATTCTTGAGGTTTTGCTATTCAACACAAGTTTACTTAAATAATAGAATCATTTTCTATCTTTACAGTCTATGGCATTGACATTCAGAGCTAGGGAGACTCCAGCCTAGTAACTCTGAGCTCTCCAAGGGCTCCTCCCAGAGGTGGACAGTGGGGAAGCCAGATGGGTCGCACTCAGAGTTGAACTGTATACTCCCCTCTCCATCGAGTGCCTCCCAAGCACATGCAGAGTCTAGATAAAATTGCAGATGCCAGGCAATTTCCTGGAGGCACCCTTTTCACCTGGGGCCACCTCCAGGAGGTTCACTCTGTAGACACTCTCATCTTGGAGTTATTACAGGTTTGGAGACCCAGTTTGGGGGCCCAGCTCAACACCCATGGCAGGCTGGCACCCTCTGACTCAGCCAGTACTGCAGGGAGAGAAGAGGGAGGGCCAAAGAGCCTGCGCCCCAATGTGCTTCCTCCCCACAGAGCAGCCCCCAGTGCTGCAGGCTCAGAGTGAGGCCTTGCTGAGTCAGGTCCTGGCTGCTGTCCAGCTCCAAGCTTCCACTGGAGAGCAGTGTCCTTTCTCCCCTGGGTTCAAGAGTGGTCCTTGGAAAATCAGACAGCAGGTCCCCTGCCTCAGTTTGTGATGCTTTCAGCACAGTTCACGGCAAAGTCTGAGCCCTCAATAAGAGGTGGTCTTCCTCATTTTACTAGGAAAAATGAGAGAACAAGCCAAGTGTCCATCAACTGATGAAGAGACCAACAAAGTGTGGTTCACCCATACAATGGAATGTTGTTCAGCCATAAAAGCCAGTGGATTACTGATACATAGTACAAGGTGTATAAACCTTGAAAATGTGCTAGGTGAAAGAAGCCAGACACAAAAGACAGTATACTGCATCACTCTGTTCATGTGAGATGCCCAGAATGGGCGAATCCAGCGTCAGGGAGCACACTGGTGGCTGCCCGGGGCCAGAGGAGAAGGGCTGTGGAGGGACTGCTAACGGATACAGAGCTTCTCTTTGGGATGACAAGAAAGTTCTGGAATGGAATAGTGATGACAGTCGCACGACAGTGGAAATGTAATTAAAGACACCAAATTGTACACTTGATTTTTTTAGAGAGGGGGGAAAAAAGGGAGAGAAACTTGATCTGGAGGTGGGGGGGGGTGGAACCTGCAATCCAGTCATGCATCCTGACTGGGAATCCCACTCACAACCTTTTGCTTTGCAGGATGCCCAACCAACAGAGCCACAGAAGCTGGGGCCTGAATTGTGGGTGTTAAAATGACTAAGATAGCACATTTTATGATACAGGAGTTTTACTGCCGCCACCACCACCACCACCACAAAAAGAGTGGTGCCTGGCACAGAACCAGTGCCGCACAGGTGTTAGCTATTATTACGACATATCCTAGGCACTCAACACATGACCACTGTCCTGAAAGAAACATCTGCTATGAGTGAGGAACTTAGCATTTCCCACCCATTTAATTCTCACAACGACCTTTAGAAGAATAAATTATATTCATTTTACACAATAATTGAGAAAATAGACTCAGGGAGGTAGGTGTCAGACTTGGGAAGGAGGTAGAATAAGCTGACAAGCAATGCCAAAATGCATGCTAAAATTTAGTGTTCCCTAATAATAATATGTATTAAATATTGGTTTCCACAGAATAAACACTACAAAAACGGGGTCCTTGGAGTCCAGCGCAATTGGGAAGGTCCCAGGTCAGAGCAGATGGGGATTGGATGCTCTCGGTTCCCTAGAGACAAGACTGCGACCTGGCACCCCCTAGAGGCCGTAGGGACCCGCCGGCCCACTGGCGCGGGCGCAGTTGTCGCTGAGCTCGCACCACGGGTCTGAGGTTCCAAGATGGTCCTGTCTTCAGCGGACAGGGAGGCACTGTGTGCGCTGTGGAGAAAGCTGGGTAACAACGTGGGCATCTACACGACGGAGGCCCTGGAGAGGTGCGGGGAGGCCCTAGCGCCCTCTAGGATCACCTGCCTTCCTGACCGCCGCGGGAACGGCTCCCCCACCCCTCACGGTGCCCTCCTCCCCAAGCCCCTACCCAACCCAGGGTAGCACCTCACTCGCTGTTCCTCCCGAAGGACCTTCCTGGCCTTCCCCTCCACCAAGACCTACTTCCTCCACCTGGACCTGAGACCCGGCTCTGCTCAGGTCAAAGCCCACGGCCAGAAGGTGGCGGACGCGTTGTCCCTGGCCGTGGACCACCTGGACGACCTGCCTGGCGCCCTGTCAGCTCTGAGCAACCTGCACGCGCACAAGCTGCAAGTGGACCCGGTCCACTTCAAGGTGAGGGCTGGACCCTCTCAATGGGGGTGGGGGGCACTCCCACAAGGGAAGAGTATGGGAGGACAGATGGACCTTGGTGGGGACCACTCTGTCCCTCCGCAGCTCCTGTGCCACTGCCTGCTGGTGACCCTTGCCCGGTACTACCCTGGAGACTTCAGCCCCGCCCTGCAGGCCTCGCTGGACAAATTTCTGAGCCACGTGATTTTGGCCCTGACCTCCAACTATCACTAAACTAGGGGTGAATGATCGCGGGACCCCACAGCGTTCCCTTCCTGTGACGGTCTAGTGTCTGAGTAAAGTCCCCCCAAAAAAGCCTCAGCCGCGTGCGTGCATGTGTTCCCTGGGGCGTGCGAGCAAGGGTCCTGAAGGGATTGGTGAGAAGTGCTGCCCTCCCACCAAAGGAAGGATGGGGGTCTGGAGGGGCCTGAGCTGCACATCCCCCTACGGTAAGAGCTGGGCGTGCCCCTGGCCCACTTCCGCTAGACGCCCTGGGTGGCCCAGCGGAGATTCCAGTTACCCTATCCTCGGCTGCCAGTGGCGTTTGGCGCAACGAGTCCCAGGTGCGTATCTTAAACCCAGACCCACCACACCCTTGGCTGCAGCCACTTGGAGACCCACACCCGAGGCTTCAGACCCTCGAGAGTCGAGAGTCGGGTAGAATGTCGGGGGGTCATAGGCTTGCCCTAGCTGACGAGGCCCGGCCCCTCCCCAGAGCTACTCGCTTCAGGTGACTCCACAGATCTGGGTATTCGGGACCTGGTCCCTCACCCGCGTAGAACTGAGGGCAAGGAGCCAGGTAGCGAGGTACAGCCCTTAAGAAAATTAGGGAACGGCGCCCCCTGGCGGTGCAGATAGGACTCATCAGAGCCCAACCTGAACAACAGCACTGTGGATCTAGAAGAGTACTGGGGACTTTGGGGATCCAGGAGGCTTGGGGTGAAACCCCCACTTGCCAGACTCTGGACCTGGTGGAAGGAGGTGCGTCCTGCCCCAGCACCCAGTCATGTAGTGGACCAGGGAGCTGGGCCAGAGTCCTACCTACAGCCACATTTCTAAGGAGACAGAAGAACAGGTTTCTTTAAAATTTTTTTTCCTCATAAAATCAATTACGGTCAGTGTAGAAACTTCGGGAAATGCAGTAACTACTTCACTTACTGTCCCTTCTTATGTATCTCAGTGGGTCCAGCACACCCATGATTGTTCCAATTCCCACCTGACACATGGGGAAACTAGGTGTGAACAAATGGAGGACATGGGAGTTTAGATTCAGGGCACACATGTGACACACACAGAGACAGACCACACACTAACACAGATGTAAACACACACACTGGCAGAAATAGCCCTTCCCAGAAATGTAACAAAGTAGCATTTAATGTACAGCCCTCCAGGTAGTTCTAGGGACATCTAGAGATATTTTTCTTAAGAAATGATACCCTCAAAGTGATATTGGAAAAAGTGGGCACATTGGACTACCTAAAGAGAAAAGTACTTGGTATGGGGAGAAAAAAAAATAAGCAAAATTTAAAAAGTAATTGGAGAAAAATATCTGCCACAAAGAGCAAAGGGTTGTTATCACTAGACCTCCAAATTCTTTCTCCTCACTTTCCTCGGCCTTTTTCTTCTTGAAGTCAGTCAACCCAACAGAAAAATAAGCCACAGGAATAAGGCAATTTGCAGTGCACCGATGGCCACGACATTTGCAACAATACACAAAGCCATGCAAAATTAAAATGCTCATTAATGAGATACCTGTCCTGAAAACATATTTTAAAAACAAGATCCAGTAAGACTCTTCTGGTAGAAGTGTAACTTAATGTACAACTTCTTCATAATATAGAACTTTAATTCGGTTGTATACAGTTGTGGGCCAGCAAATGTTTGGCAACTGGCACTCTGGAAAAAGGGGGAGGGGGCTGGTTTGTAGCATTTGCCCATTTCCATGACTTCAATATTGCCATCATGGCTAATTTCAAGCTATGTATGCTATCAGTGAGTGGGAAATTAGGAGGGGATGCACAGTAGCTGCTACTGTGTTGTATTTCTATTGTCCAGACACCAGAAATGTGAACTCAGTTAACAGTAAAGTGTAGTAACATAATTAGGCAGTGATGAGTTTTCAGTATTTATTAGCTTTGTGTTTAACATGACCTATTTATTTGTAAATTAACATAATTTGTAATAGTGGTTGTGTTTAACAGTTAGCTCTCAGACTTCCTGAAAATTTAATACAAGATAATCGAAGCAGGCTCTAGCACACCACTGGTCTTACTTACCCTTCACATTTAAAAAGTGCACATTCAGTTCTTCAGTCCTGCTTCAGGGAATGTACCCTACAGAAAAGGGTGGCACACATGTATGTATAAACATGTTATGTACAGTGATGTTCTTTACAGAACTGCTCATTAGAGCAGAGAAATAATAGGAGAAAAGTTCAGTAAATTATGGTAGAGTCCAGTAAGAGACCACTGATCAGTCACGACAGAGGGTGAGGTCAGCCTCTGAGCACAGACAGGGGCAGTGCCGACATCCAAGTAACAGCACGCTGCAGGTCGGTGTGTGCAGGCTAAGTCCTTTTTTATATTGATACAGTCATTACAAGAAAACTTGAAGACAATCCACACTAAATGTTGGCAGCAGTTTTTCGCAGGCATGGGACGAAAAGGACAAAGAAGGCAATCGTCAACCAACTCGATATGGTCCCAGAGAAGCAAAGTGGTTGGGGGTAGGAGTGATTTCTCACTTGTATGTATGTTTTTCATCTTCACGAATAATTTACAGAATACCTTGCCCTGAATATAGGTAGCTAAATTTCTACACACAAACATAATTATTTCCTTGGGGGGGATTTTAGAGAAGTGGCATTTCTGGGGTAATGTGTCCAATGCTACGGCTTTTTGACAATATTACCAAAATTGCCTTCTGTACAGGCTCATCAGCAGGAGACAAGCACCTGCACCTGCTCACTGCTCTCTGAGGTTGCTAGTTCCCATTTATGTATTTGATTGCTCATAAAGGTAAACATTGTTGGTGCCGTCATTACGCCTGGTGACTTGCCCATTTGTGTCCTTTGCCCACTGCCTACTGCGGTGTTGTCAGATTAGTCCACAGAAGCCCTTCTTTAGACCTGTAGAAAACCATCAGTCTGTCTCATACATTGAAATTTCTTGCCCATTTTTTATCTTTATTTTTTGGGGGTGAGGGACCCTTCTGCCAGATAAACCCAGATCTTCCTTCAGGCCTCTGGTCCCTGTCACTTGCTCCAAGGCTTTGCCTGATCTGAGCTGCCATTTCCAAGCTGGGAAAAGAGGCTACAGTTCTATTTGTGAATAACTAAAACTTCTGGACAAAATGGCTTAACTCTTCTTAAAAGCATCAGAGGGCCAATGAGATATACGAGGTCTATCTGGGAAAAGTCCAGCCATTATTACTGTAACGAGAACAATTCACACGACATCGGTGTAACCCAGCAGCCAGGGCGAGTGGACTGGAATGTACATCCATGAGCAGTAATGACTTCCCTGTGCTAGTCATTGAGGGCAGGAGATGCCATTGAGTGAGCATGTGTACTGTGTGGCTGTTGCATTCAAAGTGAGCAAGTAGAGCAAGGAATCTGCATCAGATTTTACACTAAGTTTGAACACTCTTCCGGGGAAACTACTCAGATGATTCAGAAGGCCATAGCTGTGGGCAACAAAAGGTGATTGGCAGTTTCATCACACAACATGCCCACTCATGCATCACGTCTCATGCAGTTTTTTGGTGAAACATCAAATCACCCAGATGACTCAGCCCAGCTACAGCCCAGATTTGGTGTCCTGCAACTTTTGGCTTTACCCAAAACTAAAATCACCTCGGAAAGGGAAGTGATATGAGACCCTTGATGAAATTCAGGAAAATACAATAGGGCAGCTGATGGTCATTCAGAGAATTGTGTGAGGTCCCAAGGTGCCTACTTTGAAGGGGACTGAGGGGTCATTGTCCTATGTACAGTATTTCTTTTATCCTGTATCTTCTTCAATAAATGTCTCTATTTTTATTATTACATGGCTGGATACCTTCTAGACAGACCTCATAAGGAATTTTCAAGCCAAAAACCCAGGTGATCACAGCATTGAAATTACTTGGGCTGGGATTTTTTCCTCATGGGCTCATGGGTTAAAAGGGTCAATACAAGATGATGTGCCTAATAGATGACTTTAAAAAATATATATTTTATTTATTTATTTTTAGAGAGATGGGAAGGGAAGGAGAAAGAGGGAAAGAAACATCAATGGGAGAGAGAAACATTGATCGGTTGCCTCTCGCACATACCTTAACTGGGGACTGAACCCTCAACCCAGGTATGTTCCCTGACTGGGAATGAAACCGGTGACCTTTCTCTTTGTACTTCATCACCCAAACAACTGAGCCATATCAGTCAGGGCCCCAACAGATGATTCTTGCCCATAAGGCTGGGGCACCAGCCCTGGCTGGTGTGGCTCAGTGGACTGAGCACCAGCCTATGAATTAAAAGGCCGCTGGTTCAATTCCCAGTCAGGGCACAGGCCTGGGTTCTAGGCTGGGTCCCCAGTTGGGGCATGTGAGAAGCAACTAATTGCTGTTTCTCTCACATGTCAATGTTTCTCTCCCTTTCTTTCTCCCTCCTTTCTTCTCTAAAAAAATAAGTAAATAAGCCCTGGCTGGTGTAGCTCAGTGGACTGAGTGCGGGCTGGGAACCAAAGTGTCCCAGGTTCAATTCCCAGCCAGGGTACATTCCTGGGTTGCAGGCCATAACCCCCAGCAACCGCACATTGATCTCCCTCTCTCTCTTTCTCTCTCCCACTCCCTCCCTTCCCTCCCTAAAAATAAATAAATAAAATATTTTTAAAAAATACGTAAATAAAATCTTTTTTAAAGAAGCTGGGGCCCCAAAAAGCAGTGGGTGAATTCCCTATTTTCCCCAAGCATGGAGTCTGGAAAAAATAAAAATAAAAAATAAATAAAACCATCTTGGTGTTCAGCAGAAAAGGGAAAGCAACTCACTGATAAATTGAAATCACATGCTGACACTTTGTAGCTTTCCAGGCCAAGTTCCTATCACCCCAGTGATCCCCTCACTGAAATCTTTTTAGGCACCCAGCAGAGGCAAAGAAATCCTTTCTCTATAAAGCCACTTTATTACAGGCCACAAAGGGCAACAACTGGCAAATTCACCGAGCACATGGAAATAAAGCACCAGAACGAAGACCAGCAGACACAAGAATCAGCAGAACAGACTCACAAATATGTCAGGCACCGAAGATGTCAGATCCGATGCCGTGTGC